TCGGCACTCACTTGAGAATGAAATAATTCAAATCTGAACTTCTTTAGTCGTAAAAGAAGAGAGAAGATGAGACAAAACCATGAAGCCAGAAGTATAGAGCCTGGATACGACAAAGAGATTAAGATCGATCCAGGAGGACTTTAGAGACTTCTAAGTTAGGCTATAAGAAAATAAATCATTAACTCATGGTCAAAGAGTTCATGGCATAATATAAGTATATATAGTTTACTCGATTGGGTATGAATCAAGAAATCCTTCTTGGTAAGAGGGGAAGAGCAATTTTTATACAACTACGTCTTAATTAGACTAAATACTGAGTAAAATAATCGGATGTTTACGAGTGCTATATTATCTAATATCTTTATCGTTTGTGTCAGATAGTGGAAAAATGAGCCTTAAATGTGAAGGATGAAGAAGTTTTTTGGGTTTAATGTTAAGGGAGAAATATGTTTATAGAGTCCATATAATTGAATTTATTTGTGTTTTTTTTGTAACACTTTCTTTGTGCTTTTTACTTTCCAATTAGTAGGAGGTCACTAATTCGATCATATTTTTCATGTCATGTGCAAAATAGAGAGTTTGTTAGTTTCTATGAATGTGAGAACTCGTCTTTCAAGTCTTGGGATCAAATAGCTGGTTGGTTGGCGTTTGATGCTTTTTTAGTTGTCTGATCACATTTATTATGTCAAAAAACTAATGGTTTACCCACCTTACTATTCAAATTTTCGTACGTGCAAGCCTATATCTCTCTTATTAAACCAAATGAGAATATTAAGTGATTTGATTAAGTTAAAATGTTAAATACGAGTAGCATTACGTACAAAACTAAACCATACATGAATTGTTCAGACTTTAATTATGATATCTAGCACAAGCATTTGACACAACGTTGTTCGCATTGTTTACTATATTGAAATCATCATGACAATGACAAACAAAACTATAATAATGCTATAAATTTTTCATTTAGCATTGTAATATAATACATCTCTAATTAATTGAAAGTTAACAAAACATATGCTAATGTTCTTGAAGGTTGAATAGATGTTGGGAGCAGGGAATTGACCGTTGATTAGAATGGCTTGTACATAAGTCTATAACTTTATCATAGGAATATATTTTCTCACATATATTTTTTTAAATAAGAATATTCTCAAAAACATGGAAACTGAAGAAAAAGAGAAAAAAAAAGTACTAAAATCACCAAAAATAGGAAGAGGTCAAACTTTCAGTTTCCCAAAAAATGGAGGAAAGGAATAGCGAAATGCAAGGAGATACCAAAGAAATCGAGAAAAGGCAGGAAAAAAAAACATTCGTCTTCAGAAACTTCTATAAAAAAAATGCCTTCAATCATTTCAACAACTCGAAATTCACACTCCAATAAACAATTAATACCCCTCACGAAAACATTTAAAATCCAAAACTGTTGTCGGAACCAAAAATCATAATACTGTTATGCGAGGAGCTAAACTCTTGGCCGCATGCCTTTACTTGGCTGCAGCCGCAACGGTTGTGGTCCGAGCCGAAGACCCTTACTTCCACCATGTATGGAACGTGAGCTATGGAACCGCATCTCCTCTCGGCGTTCCACAACAAGTCATTCTAATCAACGGCCAGTTCCCTGGTCCCAACCTCAATTCTACCTCCAACAACAATATCATCATCAATGTCTTCAATAACCTAGACGAACCCTTCCTCCTCACTTGGTAGTTACTATTATTACCACCAATAGATTATCACTTTCATATGCGTATACCAGAACCGGTCCTGAGATTTTAGAAGCGTTAGACTATTTAATAAACAATTTGCAAATTTTGGAATCTGTTTTATAAATTTGGGAGTTATATCAATGTAGTTTTTTTCAAAAATTTTAGGATTCCTAGGCAAATGTTTCATTACACTTGACCCAGGATCGACCATATACACTACTAGCTAATAATCTGGTTTCATGATCAATGCATACATGTTTTTTTTTATGTTGATAACTCTTTACCAACTAAGGAGAAGTTGACCTAGTGGTTAAAACTATTTATGTTTTAATAATATTTGTTGTGGATGTTTTAGGAATGGGATCCAACATAGGAAGAACTGTTGGCAAGATGGGACTCCAGGTACTATGTGTCCAATCATGCCCGGTACCAACTACACTTACCATTTCCAGCCTAAGGACCAGATCGGTAGCTACTTCTACTACCCGACCACAGGGATGCACCGTGCCGCTGGTGGATTCGGTGGTCTCCGTGTGAACAGCCGTCTCCTCATCCCTGTCCCTTACGCTGACCCGGAAGATGATTACACCATTCTCATCAGTGACTGGTACACTAAGAGCCACACCCAGTTGAAGAAGTTCCTTGACGATGGTCGTACTCTTGGCCGTCCAGACGGTATACTCATCAACGGAAAAGCCGGGAAAGGAGATGGATCTGACGCACCTCTCTTCACTTTAAAACCTGGAAAGACTTATAGGGTTAGGATCTGTAACGTGGGTCTCAAGACATCTCTCAACTTTAGGATTCAGAATCACAAAATGAAGCTCGTTGAGATGGAAGGTTCACACGTTCTTCAAAACGATTTCGACTCTCTTGATGTCCACGTTGGTCAGTGCTTTGGTACTATCGTTACCGCGAATCAAGAACCTAAAGATTACTACATGGTTGCTTCCTCTAGGTTCTTGAAGTCGGTTATTACAACAACGGGGCTTCTACGCTACGAGGGAGGGAAAGGACCAGCCTCCTCCCAGCTTCCAGCTGGTCCTGTCGGATGGGCTTGGTCTTTAAACCAGTTCAGATCCTTTAGGTGGAACTTGACCGCTAGTGCAGCTAGGCCTAACCCTCAGGGATCTTACCACTATGGAAAGATCAACATCACACGCACAATCAAGCTAGTGAACACTCAGGGAAAAGTTGATGGTAAGCTTAGATATGCATTTAACGGAGTCTCTCACACTGACCCTGAAACTCCGTTGAAGCTTGCTGAGTACTTTGGTATTACCGACAAGATCTTTAAGTACAATATCATCACGGATAACCCCACCATAGAACAGACCAAGAACATCAAGATCGAGCCAAACGTTATTAACGTTACTCACCGTACATTCATCGAGGTGGTGTTTGAGAACCACGAGAAGAGTGTTCAGTCTTGGCACTTGAATGGTTACTCCTTCTTCGCCGTCGCGTAAGTAAAACAAACAAAAACTATGTTTTAACCATATTCTTGCGTAGCAAGTAACTCTTCATTTTAACCTAATTTTCAATTTATTCTCTGTTTTAAACCAAATTCTTGCGTAGCAAGTAACTCTTCAGTTTAGCCTATTTTTTTTTAAACAATGTTTTAACCACATTCTTGCGTAGCTGAGTAACTCTTCATTTTAACCGAATTCCAATTTATTCTATGTTTTAAACTATATTCTTGCGCCGCAAGTAACTCTTGAATTTAACCTAATTTTTTTTATTTTAAATCTCTATTTCAAAGTGTGGAGCCAGGGACTTGGACACCAGAGAAGAGAAAGAACTACAACCTCTTGGATGCAGTGAGCAGACACACAGTCCAAGTGTACCCAAAGTGTTGGGCAGCAATCTTGCTCACATTTGATAACTGTGGAATGTGGAACATTCGATCTGAGAACACAGAGAGACGTTACTTAGGACAGCAGCTTTACGTGAGTGTCTTGTCGCCAGAGAAATCACTTAGAGATGAATACAACATGCCTGAGACAAGTCTCCAATGTGGTCTCGTCAAAAACACACCTAAACCTGCTAACCCTTACGCTGGAGCCTAAGTTTACTTTTACAAAACAATAACGAAAGAGTTTTAGATTTTTCTGTTGGTTTGATCGTTGAGAGACATTTTGGCCCACGTCTACCCAACGGATTTAATTATTTTAATTTCGCAAAATTGATTTTTGAACTTATATGGTTTATTCGTATATGCATGAGACTGAAATGTATGTATGTCTATCCCATAAGTAATTTTTTTGTTCATTTAAAAAACGCGTTAATCTTTTTTTTTGCTTTTGTTCTTCACTTTTTTCTAAGAATATGTAATGAATCCATAATCTTCGATGAAATTAGCAGATATCTTATTTCGGGTTCGGATCAGGTAGTTCAAATTTCTGGGTATTTCGATATAGGGATCTACAATCTATTCGTACCGGATCGGGTTCGGATATTTTTGATTTAGATTTAGTTATTTCGGATCGGATTCGGATATTATAGATTTTGAAAAAAAAAATCAAATTTTTCATTACTCAATTTTTTTATAAAACTGATTTTTTGAATTTTTAATAGATTAAATAATTAATAGGTTTGGAAACAGAATTTAAAAAATTAAAAAAATATTAATTTAATTAATGGTTTAAAATTTGAATGAAATTTTTGTTAATGCATAAAAAAAGTTTCATATGCATTTTAATTAAATAGAAAATACTTTGTCTTTAAATTATGTACAACATCAATATAAATATTTTGGATAAATAAGAAAAGTAAACTGGAAATTTAAAATTAAATATACATATGTTCGGTTATCTTTGGATATCCATTCGGATTCGAATATTATCCGTTCGGGTATCCGATCTCACTTAATTCAATATCCGTTTGAATATTTTAATTCAGTTCCGTTTCGGTTTGAATTTATTGATCGGGTTTGGGTTCAGATTCGGTATCTGGTAAAAGTCCCAACTATAGTGAGCCAGATGGGTCAATAATTTGGGCCCTCGCTATAAGTTATAATGAGCTTTTAAAAGCCCAATACACTGGGCTTATATTACACGTTGACTATATAAATTCCGACATGGTTGTACTTCCAGATCGGACAGCCAGCTGTGTGCAGTGGGTTCCCGTCATGTGTGGACCCTACGTGTTTTTTTCGCACTATCTTCACCACTATTAATCCATCATTCTCTTTTGTAATAAAATGTTTTTTTTGTTTCCTTTTCATCGTCCACTTAATAAATCATTGCGTTTCCTTTAATTTATTCCGAATAGGTCGCAGAGAAAATAATCGCTTCCGGTAATAATCAACTCCAACCTCAAATAATGTCGGCGTCTTTCTCCACCGCATAACTCATTGATGCCTAAGTGAAAAGACTTCGTTGAATTATTTGTTTTAGTGGTACGCTCTTCTTCGCTTTATCATCTCGTTTGAATTCAATTAGCTTCTCTCTGTTTTTCTTGAATTGAGTTTTGTTCATTGTAGTTCTGTTTCTGATGTCTTGATTGGTTTTTTGTCTTTTAAAGTTATGAATCAACAGATCAAAATGATGGAGAAAGAGAGTGTAAATGGTTTATTAGTATCACATAATGATTGTATTGGATCACCTCAACGATCCAACAGCGTTGAATCATCACCAGGTAGTTCGACGAGAAAAGGTTTTGGTTTAAAGAAATGGAGAAGGATCAAAAGAGATACTCCTGTGAAGGAAGAAGCTGCTACACCTGCTGCTGATGATGATGGTAGTAAATTGCTGAAGCGTAATTTGACTGGTTTGGTGAACCCTCCTTGTAAACATGTTGACTTGTCATCAGTTGAAGCGAGACAGAGTAGTGAAGGCTCTGTTGGATCTGTGAATATGGCTGTGAAGGATCATTATCATCATCTTGTTCCAGGTGGAGTCAACGGGTTTAGTCTTGTTTCAGGTTTTATGTTTAATGTAGGCCAAGGTTTTGATAAGAGTGAAGAGCTTAGTGGTAATTCAATAGCTGCAAAGAATGTAGTAGGAGGAGGAGGAGGGAGTGAAGAGAGGGAGAGGAAGCCTTATTCCAGCGTGGATTCAGACTTGAGAAGTAGTGATTTTGTGTTTTTGAGTGGCAAAGAAGGCCAAACAAATGGGAGAAGCGAGAACGGAGGTAAAGATGGAGATGGAGATGATGAGAGTGAGAAGAAGAAGGAGAACCATTATTGGGTAGAGAAGGATCAAATTGCAGATTGTATTAAAAGTCTTGCAGCTCTGCAGGAAGCTCTTTGGAAAGGTTTGAACACAAGCCATAGTTATGAATAGGACACATGTTACATGATGTTTTTTTCTAAACTAACTAGATGAGTGAAACGTGTGCAGAGGTTACGAGTTTTCAGGAGCTGAGTAAGGAGTCTTTACCATTACATTCGAACATTGATGAAGTCAATTCAGGATCACAGGTGCTGATTTTGAAGCAGAAGGTGAAACATCTCCAACACAAACTGGAGGAAACTAGAGCTGATCTTGATGCAAAGGAAGCTAAGATCCAAGAACTAGAAAACTCAAAGATTGAGTCTGAAATTGAAGGCGTTTTCCAGAGAAAGGTTGAAGCTGAAATCGAGCATTTGATGCTCACAAGATCACTTCAAGTACTAAATGAACAACCGAAGAAGGTACATTCTGTAACCGAAGATCCTGAACTGAACCGTGGAAACATGTTAGGAAAAACATGCAAGTCCAGTTTCTTTTTCTTGACACAGTTGATCTTGCTAGTCTGCATACTTCGGTTACTACTTCTCCAATCCTCTCCTGCTTCACGGTTAGTTATACCAACTTGAAAACAGTTCATGTTGGTCTTCATGTTGTGTTACCAAACTTTTTTGTTTTCTTCAGATGTTCATTTATGAGGCATTATGATTTAAAATAAAATGTGTTATTTAAGCTTGTAATCAAGTTATAGCAAAACAAGATATACTATAAATTAGTTAAAAGCATCTCCACATTCTAAACTCAGAACTAACTCATAAGGATCTAACACTAGAGTTCATACAACCACAAATACAAGAAAAAAGAGAAGACTCACAAGCCACGAAACAGAGCAACAATGATCAGGTCTGTGCCACCACTGAACCAGCTCTTTCTGTACACATCACACCAAGCTTGAACTTTTAGAAGACCAAACAAAAAAAAAAACACTAACTAGTAGCATTTGCAGAACACATAATTTACACCTTTAAGAGATACATTATATCTTATGTTTTTGCTTCTGTTGACTTCACCGGTTGCTGTATGAGCTTTCTTTTATTTCTTGTTTGGGTTGTGTATACTTCTCTTTGCTTACAGAAACGAATCAAGGTATGAATAGTTCCTGCGCCTATGATACTCAAGAAGGCTACCATAAGTGCGGTCCCATACACCAATGAAGAGCGCCTCTGTGTCAGGGCTAAAAGATATTCCAGAGATCTCCCTCAAAGAAGTCTATTTCCTGCTCTGTCTAATACCCCTTTGAGACGTCATAGACATGGACAGGTTTGTCGCAATACAAAAAAAAAAACACTTCGCACTAAAAAAAATGCTGTATCGTTCGTGGACTTCTCGGATAATTGGGCATGTGTCATATCAACGGGCTTGGCTAAGGGCCCAGAAGAAAAGGAAACAAAAAAAGATGCGCCGTTGCCGGGGATCGAACCCGGGTCACCCGCGTGACAGGCGGGAATACTTACCACTATACTACAACGACTCGGATGTTGGTTTCCTAACACAAATATTGATTAACCATATAAACAGATCTCTAGCTGGGAAGTGACAACGTAAGAACTTCATGAAGCAAAGCATATTATGCAGTATCTGACACTACACCTTGTGGTAATGTAATGTCATTTATTGCAGCTGGTGGCAGGATTCGCTAACGAACCAACGCCTGTAAAATCTACTAACGGAGTTTTAATCACATTGTAGATGATACCTATTTATTATCTCCAATCAATTTCTCACGGTCGTCCATACAAGTCAAAAATCACAGCAATGCCATAAATCTAGTGTATAGCACAAGAAACAATGTTCAATCTTTTCAATAACATCATTGTAAATTAACAAATAACCTTCTAAGTCACTAACAGTCTTCGTTTTATAGTGTGGGGAAAAGCCAATAGAAATAAACCTTCACTTGTTGACAAAAAAAAAAAATAATAAAAAAAAAATAAACCTTCACTTGTTCGAACAAAACTTTCAAAATGTTAAGAGATTCCAAGTTTGTGGAAACCACATAACAATCAGGTTTTTACATCTTAACATATCTCCCCTAACACTTTGTGTTCCTGAGATCATCAGGTAATAATTAAAACCCAATTTGCTTCACACCAGACTCTCATCCATCCACGGTGTTTATATACCTCCATCTAACCAAAAATAACAACACAGCAACATCAAAAAAACTCATCAAGACTGCTCTTATGCTAAGCAATTAAAAGAGATTTTATTCAAAATGAACCAACTAACCTTGTTGAGGATCTTCGTGTACAAAGAAACTGGCAGCTACTATCAAATAACAAAGAATAAGCATCAATCCTTTGAAGTAATTTGATGTCCCTTCCTGTGTTACATACAGATTGATCATAACTTGTTAGTTTCCTATTACCATTATCACACTCGACTTAAAGACTTTACCCACCTGGAGGAAAAAAGCTACTACTATAACGGTGATGAACAGCATCGCCGTCTCAAAAAGCTGGAAGTTGAGGTCCATTTGTTCACCCATCATCCATCCAATCACCACACAAAACGGGACCTAACCATATCAAACAGCAACAGAGATTACCCAACAAGCTTTGTTGGCCAGAGATGATATAAATACTGCTCTTGCAATGTATTCATGTTACTCACAGCGAACATGGAGATCTGGATAGAGGAACCAATAGCCACTCCCAATGACAGATCCTGTAAGAGGTAACAAAAAGTGTCTCAAGACAAACTGAGAATGAAAAGACTGTCTATAGATGTTACAACTCAAGAAAGACTCTGCTTACCAGTTTATCTTTCATGGCAAACATGATAGCCCCTGCATGCTCCGCTGCGTTCCCAACAATAGGAAGCAAAATGACACTGATGAAAGCTATTGGTATGTTCCAAGAGACCGATGCACCCTGACAAAACAGTTACATGTTATGGTGAATAACTCAAGCAGTGGACACAACAACATATAGCCACTGACAGAAGACCCAAGTTGGCTACAGAAAAGGAACGTTGATTACCTCTATGGCATCAACGAGATAGCCAGAGAGAAGAGAGACCCAAGCAGTCAAGATTGAGAGCCATATGATAGATTCCCATTTAGAGATCTCAGGATCTTCATCTTCAGAAGTTTCTTCGTTCTGATTTGTTTCCTAGAGTATACAGCATATGTCAAAAACAATAAGGTAAGTCCAGGTCAAACAGAATCCCACAAACCAATTGGTTTTATGTCTTAGTTTCTATAAATAGAACGAACAGAGGAGGCTACGCCTGGTGGCTGGTGGCAGACAACAAACCTCTTCAAGAGGGCTATAAGAATTAGACTGGCTCTTCAACTGGAAGAAAAGGTAAGCAGCATAGGCTATAAGCATTATGCAACTGCTAAACCTTGACAATGCCAGCTCTGATGATCCAGCATGAACCTCACTATGCGTGTAGTGAAGAACAGCCGGGAAGAGTATCCCCATCACAGCCATCAAAAGCAATCCTGAATTAACAACCGCAAATCCCTGGATACAGAAGAAAGAATAGTAATAAACAAAAAGCTGACAAGAGAGGATACAAGGTAAGTAGATAACGGATTACTACTTTGTCAAAGACTTGGTCTTTCTGGTAAAACACTAGCCCACCGCAGAAGAAAGCGCAGCCAAGTACAAGCAACATGTTAGACAGAATCGATCCTAGCAAAGTCAGCTGAACAACTCGTATCATTCCATTTTTCAAAGCGAAAATCGAAATGATAAGTTCTGTCACGTTCCCGAATGTAGCATTTAGAAGGCCTCCAACTGTGAAAATTTGTATTATCATAACTCAATGTCAAAAAAATAAATAAAATAGAATTGACTGTTTCAGAAGAAGCAAGTTCATACCAGTGGGGCCTGTGTAAAAAGCTAGTTGCCTGTTTCAATTAAACCAACACTTACACATAAGTCTCACAAACAGAATGAAGATATGGTAAGATTATGCTTACTCTGTGGCATATCCTAGACGCTCAGCCAATGGTGTAATACCTATTAAGCTCAGCAAAAACACCCACCCCTGAGCCAGGCAAAGATTCATTACTTGAGAGTCTAACACTTAAACTAGTAGTATTACTAAACTAACAATTTACCTTACTATCTATCATGTAGTGGACCAATATTGCTAGAGGACCGAAAGGTAACAATAGGTTGAGTTTATTAGATAGAATAACGATCTTGATGCTCTTAAGCACGCTGTTCTTTGGTGATTTGGTTGTGTGCTGAGGGAAAGTTGGAGAAAGTGATCCTTGCTCCATCAAAGAAGCTTCTTTAATTTGCTTGGCATCTTCTTCTTGTTTAAACAAGCTTTTTTGCTCAACTTCATTAGCTGAACCCATCTGTTAAAATTTATCATATTTTCATTTACAAAAATAAAAGTCTCTGGCAATCCAAAATAATCAAAAGAGTATTGAACTTACTTCAACTTGTGCTTCAATAAGAGGTGGGACTTCACAATGACTCATACCCTCTCGTGCTGCTACCAAAACATGAAGCAAGGTTAAACAAACAGCGTGCCGTTCTGCTGCAACCTATGTACATTGAAAACTTCTTGTGTGAGATCTAAGTTTGTGGATAATAGACATAGTTTACTTCATATAAAAGCACGGAACTTTACTGAGTTAACTGCCAAAAAAACAATACTTTCTAAACAGAAACTCTATGAATCCGAAATAAACAGAGACTTTTGGGATTAAGAAAAGAAAAAAAGAAGGAGAGACTTTACCTTGCAGTCAACAAAGGGTAAGACAGAGAAGAAGAAGCCTTGAAAGAAGTTGCAGAAACCAACTTTGAGGGTTTCTAGTATCTACTTCTTGTTGTTGTTGTTGTTGTGATCTGGTGAAGAGAAAGGAGAAGTCAAGTGGTGATTTCTGAAGAGATGGAGTGATTAATTCATGGACGTGGTTTTGTGATTTGGAAGTGTAGAATCCATTAGATCTCAGATGTTAGTAGAAGAGCACCAGCGAGGAAGTTTCGTTCTGCGTTGAATTTTTTAAAAACTTAGAAATCTTTCACCAGTTTGAAGAAAACGAAGTTTTTTTTTTCTCCTTTTATTATTCTTTTTTTTTGTTCTTTGAGTAAACGTAGAAGAAGACACAAATAACGGCGCCGTTTGCCTTTACGACAGTTCCCATTTCCCCTCGAGAAATCTAGCGTCTGTGTCCTAATATAACCCGCGAGTGTCGGAAAAAAATATTTTAGTATGTTTCGTCTATTTTATTTTATTTTATTTGATGTTTAAAATTTTTGAATATAAAAATACAAACTTTTATATAATTTATCTTGTTTAGATAAAAAAATATTATTAGATGAGACTAACTCAAAGTCTCAAGTCTCATCCATAGAAAAAGTGATTATGTAAATCACAAATGTCTAAGAGCATTATTAACTCAATGTACTTAGACCAAGATTATTGGGGCATCTTAGCACGTATCTTAGTTTTAATCAGCCGAAAAATAAATCAAAATTACGGTAAAAGAAGAGGGACGTTTGTTAAATAAGAAGTTTTGGAGCACGTCCCTAAAGGCACGTGGCATCATGCCATAGGAAGCCGAATGAGGCACATTTGCTATTGTTTTTACAGATTCCGGCGATGATCGTTGAAACGGAGGAAGAAAATGATGAGACACAGAGAGAGTTCTAATCGGAGCGGGTGGTCGGACCGCCATTGAAGCTCTTCAATCCTCCTCCTTCCGCGCATCTCCGCCGAACCCAAGCTGCTGTCCGGTGAGAGTGGAATCAACGCCGCCAAGGGTTTGCAAGATGTACTCAAATCAAATCTCGGTCCCAAGGGAACAATCAAGATATATCCTCTCTTTTTATAATAGTGTTCATCATCTTGAATTTCTTCCAGATGTAGTTGTTTATTTGTTGTTTCATACGATGTAGGCTTGTTGGTGGATCGGGAGATATCAAGCTTATCAAGGATGGGAACACTCTATTGAAGCAAATGGTGAGTCTGACTTTTGTTTAGTTAGTGAAAGGTCCTCTAAAGTCTGTGACTTGTGTCCTGTAGTGTTAGGAGATTGATTTGGTTTGAAACTAAATGTGCTATTTTTCAGAGAAATTAAGCTCCATCATGCTCTTCATGTGGTATGTGTTTTCTCCTTTGGTGTTTTACTGCATTGCTTGTTTTGAGGAATATTAGTTATGTATGTTCCTGGTTTTTTCAGGATTGAAATCAAGGATACGAGAACTTATGTATGTTCAGATGTTCCTGGTTTATCTGTTGTGTCATATTAGTTATGTATGTTCCTGGTTTTCCTTCGCTCTCGTAGGATCTTCACCACTCACAAATAATGCTTGTCTTGTTTTTCAGGATCCTGGTTTTTATGTACTCAAAGAAGATACATCTCCTTGCAGTTTTGGTTCAATTGAGAAGCAGAGGTGGTCATATGCTTGTGCGAAGCAACTGATTGAGAGGCTTGTCTGTGGTACGCAGTTCTTTCTATTATGATAAGCAAATTCAGTATACTTAAGAGGCAAAAAGGATCTCATTTTCTTTTGTTTGTGGTTGCAACTGAGGGTGCTATGTTTTGCTTGGATTGAATCCGATGGTGTCCTTAAGAGACAACATAAAGTCCCAGCAATAATGTACACATTTGCTATTGTTTCTTAACAATGTCTCTTACTATAAAAGTAATAATAAAGAAAGCTAAGAATTCAAAATTAAGTCCCAGCAATAATGTTGCTCTTAGTGAAAGTTAAAAAATCGTTTCTTAAATTTTAATTAAAAAACTTAAAAACGATTTTTAAATTTTTTTTTTGTTGAAATGTAAGAAACAATTTCTTAATTTCCGTTAAAAACCCCACTATAAAAACTTGGATTAACTATAGTTTAAGAACATTAAACTTTCATAGAAAAATAAGAACTTTATTTATTTTGACGGGTCAACTCTCAAAGATGTGACCCCAATGCACCATCAATAGATTTGACTCAAATTGGCCCGTTAGATTGATGTCGCAGAATGTATGAACTGGAACTATTACGTAGGAGCCCGTTTACAACACTTCAGCGACTTAATAGTTTAGTATATGGACTCAATATATCTAAGGCTCACTACGATTTAGCCCCAATTCCCAGTAACGTAAAATTGTACAATCCCAATCGATTACGGGTTTCTTTTTCTTTTTTTTTTAACACTGTTTATAGTTTCAAGCCATAAAAGGGCAGAGTTCAGACAACCAGCTTCTAAAAGCATAGATAAACAAAAAAGAAATCACCAGTAAATTATATAAAGAGCTTAAAAGAGCAAATAGATAGAACCCGCCAAAGATTGAGAAAGTACCAACCAACAGACTGGTTTTTTTTTACTAATTCTCAAGGCGTTAACATTACTATAACCAACCTCCTCACTGATTAGTTGTTGCAGCTAAAAGGAACATGACAACTGAGAAAGGCTGAAATCTTTGGACTTTGGTAACAGTTGTTGAGATTATCATGGCTCCTTATTTTCCCAGCAAAGTATAACTAAAATAGTTTGATTCGAGCATAAAACTAAACTCGTAAAGAAGTTGAGAAGTACTTTTCAGTTAAGCACATGGCCTGCCAGGTAAGCATCATACCGACTTGTTCCTCTATCATACGCCTTATTATTGGTTTGTTCAGCTACGTTACTGTTTAATTATTTTATCAAATAAGCCAACACACTAGTCTACGTATCTTAACTGGCCCTCGAATCAATGACCTTAATATAATCAGCTGAACTTAGGGTTGCTATACAGCCAACACCAATTTCCACGTACTAATAATAAACTATTTGCACGAAAGAAGAAATGGCAGTAACACAAGTATGATTTGTTAATCTTTTTTTTTTTTTTTTTGGTCAAGATTTGTTAATCTTAATATCTAAAAACAGTAGGATATAAGCAACAGAAGAGTCAGCGCCTGTGGTCCTGTGGAACTTGGAGTACATACGAATCATAACTTCCCCCCTAAGTCATCCAAAAGAAGTAATAGTCCCCACCATAACTACATAATTAAACAAATCACCATTATAATAATTAGTAAACCTGCATCATTCTACTATATTTGTAAGAGTAGATACGTTAATTCTTGCTAGTCACTCATCATAAAATAACTAACACAGTTGAATTCCACTCATCCTTTTAACTTTACTACTAAAGTGTAACTTTATTACTATCAATCACAATCGTCTAGAAAGCTTATATATGCTTAGTTGCACTGGGAGTGAACCATATGCAAAAATAACTAACAGAGTGAAACTCCCATTATCAAAAATATCAAAGAGTTAATCTATGCTGATTAGTATCAACTACAACTGTTCTAAAAAAAAAGTATCAACTACAACTTACAGACAGTATCTACTTTTTTATTTTATCTTTACAAAAAAGATGGGTGATGTTCAATGTGTATCATCATTTTGTCCACACAATAACATCTGCGTTGACAATGTTAAATACATTATAACACCTTTTGTTGTAACCTATAGTCAGCTGTGTGAACAACGGTTTATGAACGGTAAATAAAAAGCTGAACAAGTAAATCGTTCAAAATAAACACATAACAATGATTAAGAAGTGTGTTACGCACAAAATCGTATTGTGATTGGGTTCGTTTTTTTTCTTTCTAGAAGTGCTATATATACATCTCAGTGGCCTAACCGACACATCCTTGAGAGACTTTGTCTCTTTTTCTGCACATTAATCCAAAACACTAAGCATACTTATAAACGTTATTAATCGTTTGGTAGATAAAGACAAGAAAAAAGCTTCTAGAATGAAAGGCGTTTTGATATTTATATGTCGACGGGTTTATATATCTTTTTGCTCCTTTTATTTTCAGCCGTTGATTTGACTGGGAAAGATTTCTTCTAGAAGCACATTTTTGTTTCGTTATGTTTTTTGGGACCGAATATATTATTCCGTTTTAAGTATTATAATCAGTGGATATGGCACTGCTTAACATCTGATAGTAGTATATAAACACTATTGTCACATTTTAATAATGGTTACAGTTGACTGTTCAAAAACTACATCCTTTCATTGAATAACCAGGTTTAAATTCAGAAAACATGTACTAATACTCAACATAAATATTTCTTTTTTTTTCAAAAAAAAAACATACATAATTCTCTAATCCTAATGATACAAATAATTTATATATACAGCTAAATGACATGTCATCATTACTATCTTAGTGAGCTGATCAAACAAGGTGAGCCGAGCCGACAAAAGACGTTCTAGAAGGCCAATCTTTTAAACTGGATGACACGTCATCTTACCATAGATTTTTCACAAAACTGGTGACTGCCACTTCCCACGGGTTTATACATTTCTTTTTCCTTGATCTTAGCTCCTTCTTAATTACTTTATCTCACTATTAACCCCATCATTTTCTTTTAACCCATTCATTTAAAACTTGCATTTGTATATAACAGTAGTTTTATTAAATCCGCCAATTAAGGTAAAATAAACATTTAGCCATTTCTCTAAGAGATAAAATTACCAAGCAATCGCATCTCCATAATTTAAGCATTAGTATCACTTTTAGTTTAGCATTTAAAATATTAAAATAAGCAATTAAAATATTAATAAATAAAGGCTATGCTCTCTCTCTCTCTCTCTCTCTCTTTATATAAAGAGTCATATCTCAATCCTTCTCTCCTTGTGATTCATACATTCTCCTGCTCTCTCTCTCTGCTTCTCTAAATCTTACGATTTCTTTCAATTCGCCCCTTTAATTTTACATAAATTACGTAAATGTCCGGAATCTTAGTTAATTCCGCCGCTAACTCCCTCCGCTTCTCACCGGGAACTAGCCTTCCTCATCCGAAGCCAACCAGATCACACCACGGCACCGCGCGGTTTCCCACCGGGTTCAGAGCTTCCGCGGCGCAGACTCTCCACGCAGAGCCAGCTGTAACGGAATCGATTCGCCGGCGAGCGTCTAGCCTCTACGAGCTGCTCAAAGTCAACGAAACGGCGTCGTTGCCGGAGATCAAGACCGCGTACAGGAGCTTGGCTAAGGTTTACCATCCCGACGCGTCGGAATCGGACGGACGAGATTTCATGGAGATCCATAGAGCTTACGCGACGCTCGCGGATCCGACGACGAGAGCGATTTATGATTCGACGTTGGGAGCGAGAAGGAGACGGGTGCAGGTTGGAGCGATGGGTCGGGCGGGTCGGGTGTATGCGTCGACCCGGAGATGGGAGACGGATCAGTGTTGGTGATTTAGGGTTTTTCAGATTATGGTTTTGTAGCAGTTAAAGGGCACTTTTTTTTTTTACTTAATTTTCTCCCTTTTAGTTAATTATAAGGGGGAAATAAGTTTTATCAGCCTTTTTTTCTTTTTTGGTTTTAACTCAAGCAGTTAACAATGTATAATTCAAGTTATGAATTAGAGAGATGTATATTATTTTCATTCTCTGTTTTTGTAGACAAGAGATTAACTATCGATTAGTTTGAACAAGTGACAAAAACATTTTATTTGATTTTCAAACTTAATTCCGAAAATAAAATTTAAAACTGTGGAGCAATTTGAAAGATCTCATATAGCTTCTGGAATAATAATAGGTCCATCATAATCGAAAGCGTAATACTTTATTGCAACAATATAATAACAATACACAATGTATTATATATTTAAATATTTTATCAAAATTGTTAGTTATATATACACACTCTGTATAGTGTATACATCATAAACTTAAACAAATACGCCTGTTTCTACACGACTGTGGTTGCGGAAGACATGTGGTAGTGACAATCAACCCGTCAAGAACGAGAACAATAACATCTTTTAAATTAAATATATCCGAACAATGGTTTGGTTCTTACACGAGATCTTCTATGAGGAAAAGAGAGGACAATAACGCATATGAAACAAAGAGATTTTACATTTAAAAGAAAAGCCAAAAAAAAAAAAAAAAAAAAAATTCAAACCAAAATTTGAAAAAAAAAAAAAAAAATCAAAACCAACACAGAAGTGGAGATGCCGTCAATAATAGAGATTGTTGTCTTCCTATGTTTTTTGTTGCAGGCCATTAGCATAGAGTTGATGAAACTGATGGAAGAGACGTCGCTGCCTGATGCAATGCGGTAGTAGTGGAGAATCTGATAAGACTTGCTCAAAGATTGGACCATCTGATCTGATGGGTTAATGGCTGCAACCACATCCGTCATCCATGCAAGCTTACGAGATGTGTCCTTGTTGATGTGGCAGGCCAGCTGCTGCAGCAAGGACCATGTTCTTATAAATCATTAATGGGCCTGAAACGTGGCCCAATATAGAGTCCTAGTCAAAGTTAGCTAAGGAGACCGTTGTGAACTTGGTTTAGTGATTTTGATTAGCTTTAAAAAGGTGTTATAACGTCCCCACGTTTCTCGCCAACAAAACCAACAAACATTCTCTCTGACTCTGACTCTGATCTTAGAGCCTAAATCGAAGACCAAAATCTCGGAATCTCCGGCGACAGATTTTACACGAAGCAGAAGAGAGATGTGTTGTGGACGGATATGCATGCTGTGCACGTGTTTGCTTCTGGTGGTGATCACGATTGGGCTTCTATTCGGATTCGGAGTTTTCAAGGATGGTTTCCACAAGATCCACGATTCTGTCCATCTCGATTGCGATTCTAGATTCGGCTGCGGTGGAGGCGTTGGCCGTCACGGTTACGGTTTCTCATCTCCCGCCGGTAATTAGCTTAGCTAAAAGCTGTGTGATTCTCAGAAGAATTCTTTTGAATCGACGTCGTTTCGGATTTAGATAGATCGATTCTTTAGGTTTTGTTTTGTTTTTTGTTTTTACTTTTGTTTCTAATGTTTCGTTTATCAGATTTAGCTACAGTTCGATCAAAAATCCGTAACGTCTCTAATTCGTATTTGTCATTATACTTTTACGTTAATGCGGTTTTTTTACTATATTTTATTATCGATAAATACAAAAAGATGCCTAATTGCCTATATTACAACTCTATTAGATTAAAAAAAAAATCAGAAGAGAATAAAAATATTCCATAAGACAATTCTTATTCTTATCTACACTAAAGTAAAGATTCTCGATGACTACAAAAGTAATATTCTGGTAACGGATAAACCTCTTCCTAATGACATGAATTATATTTTAGTAGTGGTTAAGGGATCTCAGTGGTTAATTACTTAAAGGGATGTATTCAATTGAGAATTATTAAATTTGATATTATTGAAAATATTTTAAGTTATGGGATTTTAAAAATTTTCAAGTGATTTTAAAGTGTTTGGTGGAATTTCTTAGTTAGGAAAAGTAAAACTTAAATCTCATGGTTTAAAAACAATCACTTAAATATTTACAAATTTATTAAAATCATTTAAAATCTTACTAAAAATCAAATCACTTCAAATTTTAAATTAAACTAGATTTTGACCCGCGCAACCGCGCGGATGTTTGTTTTTGTTTATACTTAGTTATATAAACCTTTTATTTTTCACTTGTAAATTGGTATATATTATAGTGATCACATATTTACGATATATATAGTAAATGTTTTTCAAACATAATAATATTATATAATAAGTGTTTTAATCAAATAGATTGTTTCAAATTTCTATATTATACATGTTTTTCAAACATGTGTTTGTTTCTTCTTCTATATTTTATTGTTTGTTAAATTAATATTTCATTTTTAGATAAAGTAATATAAATAGAGCTTGATTAAATATTAGTATACTTTAATTTGCAAAGATAATATAAACTTCGAAGAAATGTTTGATAAAAACTAAACTTATAGCTTCATAAATTAATATTATAAAGAATTTTATTAAAAAGAATTTTTTAAATAATTTCTTTTTCTAAAACAATATAATTTTAAAAATTTACATCGAAATAAATTTATCTAATATATATAGGGTGTAAATTTTGTTAGGGTATATAAATATTCCATATTACTAATCGGTGATTTTTGTTAATATATTATGGATGCATTTAACTATTATTGACATATTTCCTTATAAATAATAGAAGATTCCTAAACTTATATCTATTTACATATTTTACGTGACTAAGTTGGAAGGTGTGGGTAATTTAACAAAACTAAATTGTTAAGTGTATCTTTGTTATAAAAGATATGATTTTTCATAAGATATAATAATGATAATATTATTAGAGAGTTAATGTAACATAACTTTCTAGTAATAGTCCATTTTTTTAAAAATCACACATGAAGTCAAGTCATGACTTCTGTTTTAATATATAAGATATATCCCCAGAAGAGTTTGTAATTTTTTTTGTTGGTATGGTAATAAATTGATTATTTCGAATAATATATGGAAAACTATGCCTCAAACGTCAAATAAGTCGATGCCTTCACCTAGGCCTCGGCAAAAAAATCAGAATCGAAAAAATGAACCGAATCGAAATACCCAAGAACGAAATTGGATAGAAATTCTCAAATATCCGAATGGTTTCTATATTTCTATATTGGAAAATCCGAATCAGAACCCCAATCAGAATTGGAACCGAGTCGAAAACCAAACGGATACCCGAATATCCGAAAAAAACAAGTTTTAAACTTTTTAGTAAGGTAAAATGAAATCAAACTCACTTGAATTTATATTAGACATGAAGAATGAGAATATTGTTACCATCAGAACATGTTTTCTTTTATGTACTCTTATATTTTAAATATATATATGGTATTATATATTAAAATATAATAAATATTTATAAAATTAATATTTTATTGATTTGAACTCTTGCTAGATTGACGAATATATAAGCGTATAAACATTAGATCATTTAAATTAACATATTTTCTAAAATATTTGTATATATATATTTGAATCATATATTAAACAGGTATCCGAAACCGAATCAGAACCGAATCGAAATCGAACCAAAATCAAACCGAAATTTCACAAAAATTTATTGGATGTAAGAATGATTTCTCTGATATACTCGGAATCGAGTGGTTCCTATCCGAAACCGAGCCGAATATCGGAATGCACAAAGGCTACCTTCACCTTTTATTTAGTATATGAAAAAAATAAAAACTAAACCGGTCGGGAGGTTAAATCCAAGTCCAACTAACAAATTAAAACGAGTCAGGGGTAATTTCGGGATTTAACGTAGAGCCTCTAGCTAAAAAAGCGGGTTTAAGGTCAGTGTTGACTTCCTTCATAAGACAAAAGAGTTTAATATTAACAAAGGAAAAGAAAACCCAACTAGTGAAGCCACACACAAAGAAGAGAAGGAGAAGCCAAAGAGACGACGATTTACAAAAGATGAGGATCACTGTGATGACCGCCGGCGAACAAATCATCACCCTTGACGTCGATTCACACGAAACCGTAAGTTCATTCTCCTCAAAAAACCCTAACTTTTTCCCTGATTCTTCGCTTATTAGAATCAACAATGCACTTCTCTCTCGAATCGATCGATTCAGGATCTTGGGTTTAGCTTCTTGTTCGTGATTAGTCAAACCCTTTTGTTGATCATTAGTTTTTTTTTGGCTTTTCTTGTAGGTTGAGAATGTTAAAGCCTTGCTGGAAGTTGAGGTAAACCGATCTCAGATCTCTCTTGTTTATTGCTATTGTGAGATAAAAAGTCTGAGGAAGCTTGAATTTTGCTGAAAGTTTGGGTTTTTCAGAGGTTTTTTGGGAACTTAAAAGCTAGTTTGTGTGTTTTGTATCAATGAGCAGGCGAATGTTCCGATTCAGCAGCAGCAGCTCTTGTATAATGGAAATGAGATGAGGAATTCTGATAAATTGAGTGATTTGGGTGTAAAAGATGATGATTTGTTGATGATGATGGTTTCCAGTGCATCATCTGGGTACACATTTGACTCTATATTGGAAAATCTAACTATTCAATTGTAGTTACTCTCTTGTTTTTGTTTTTTTTAACTTGCATGATTTAGTAGTGCGGTGGGGAGTGATTTGGCTATGAATCCTGATGGGTCAGCGTCGAACCCTGCGGCTTTTCAGCAACATATTCGGGGTGATGCTAATATTATGGGACAGTTATTTCAGGTGAGGATTGATTGTAGCTAGAAATTTTAGCTTGGGGAGTGTGATATTATTACTTGGACTTTGTTTTATGACTCTGGTAGTTATATTGGTTTTGATGCTGTGAATTGTAGACGGATCCTGAGCTTGCGCAAGTGATTTCTGGAAGCGATTTGAATAAGTTACAGGATGTTTTGCGTTCACGGCATCAACAGAGATCTGTAGTGCAGCGTCAGAAGGAGGAAGAACTCGTAAGCCTTTTTGTCTTAGTTTCAGGGAGCTAGCTTTGAGCTAGCTTCTCTATTTTTCTACACATTGAGTTACCACTATCAAAGAATTCTGCTTATGTATGCACCCCCTTGCAGGCCCTTCTGTATGCAGATCCTTTTGATGTTGAAGCACAGAAGAAGATCGAAGCTGCAATTCGTCAGGTTAATTGTTCTTACTTAAGTTACATGTACTGAACTCTAGTATGTCATTAGTTGCAAATTATTCTCTTGTGGTTCCTTGATGCAAACAAACATTCACTCAGGTTTTGTTCTTGTGTTATCATAATTAGCTTGTTATCTTTCCGTATTGTTACTGACTTCTGGTACTATAACTTTGAGCAGAAAGGAATTGATGAGAACTGGGAAGCTGCCCTTGAACATAATCCTGAAGGCTTTGCTCGGGTGGTATGTATGCTATGGTTTAGTTTATGCTTCTGAGATTCCTTAACTTTCCTGTAGCAGACTTGGAATTTTTTTGTTTTCATTTCCTCAGATAATGCTGTATGTGGATATGGAGGTCAATGGTATACCTTTAAAGGTAACAATTCTGCAACTAGAATATAACCTCTCTTTGCTTACTATCTGTGTTTTTTTCTCGGTTCCTCTTCAGATCATTTGTATGTTCTAAGCCTATATTTGACACCATCTCCAGGCTTTTGTTGATAGCGGTGCTCAGTCGACAATCATATCCAAGAGCTGTGCTGAGAGATGCGGGTAACTCTCAGTTTTTTTTTGTGTTCTGGTACATCTTTTACTATAGAATAATGGAATAACTCAGGAGTCTTGTTGAATTGATAACTTTCAGATTGCTGAGACTCATGGATCAACGGTATAAAGGTATTGCTCAGGGTGTTGGCCAAACAGAGATATTAGGCCGCATTCATGTCGCTCCAATCAAGGTAAATGTTTTCCTTGTAATGATGTTATCCCTTTTGTTATAATGATCTTTGCAAAATAATTTGAACATCTCGTAACTTGCAGATTGGGAAAAACTTTTACCCGTGTTCATTCATAGTGCTGGACTCACCTAACATGGAGTTTCTATTTGGCCTTGATATGCTGCGTAAGCATCAGGTAACATCTCCATCATTTGATTTTGAATTCAGTATATGTTTTTCAACTTTCAACCAAATGTAAATCCGTTTGTCACTCTGTTTTCTCTGTATGTAGTGTACTATTGATTTGAAGGATAACGTCCTGACTGTTGGAGGAGGAGAGGTCTCTGTTCCCTTTTTGCAAGGCTAGTTCTCTACCTACCATCTTAATCTTGAACCCTTTTTTATGTTTGTTATCTTTATTTGTAATTAACCTGAAAAAAATTACGCACTTTCCTTCAGAGAAAGACCTTCCTTCTCGATTCTTGGATGAAGGTGGTGTTCCAAATCAAGCATCTAGCTCTGGAGCAACTGTAAGAAACTTTGCATTTTGTCAATGATCTTTGGTTTTGATGAACTATATAGTTGGAAATAAGTTCTTATGTTGGAATTGTTTTTGGTCATATAGGTTCCTTCTGGGTTTACAGAGAAGAAGAGTAACACAGTTGCAAGCCCAGCGAGTCAACCTTCAAAATCAGAGGTATAAAAAGATGTGTTGAAAGTTTTAGTCTCACTTCTTTTTATTACTTTGCAGTCTCCGTTGATGGTTTTCATCATGTAAACCCACAGGGACCTGAATTTGAAGGCAAGATAGCAAAGCTTGTGGAGTTAGGCTTCTCCAGGGAAGCAGTGGTACAAGCTCTCAGATTGTTTGAAGGAAACGAAGAACAAGCTGCTGGGTTTCTCTTTGGCGGCTGAAGTTTAAATAAATTAAATAGTCTCATTTACCAAAACGCCAAACAAACTGTGATTTAAAGAGACTCTTTTTCAATCTGCCTTTATTTTTGTATTTTATTAGCTCTTCTTTACAAAACATAGCAATGGTGTAACTGCAGAACCATGTCTTCAAGACATCTCTCAAGTTATTTTATGCTGTCGAGTAAGCAGACGAAAGGTTTCGTAGAAATGGAACTTTGATTCTGTGTTCATCTCCTATTCGATTTATTATATCATTGAGGAATATCTTGAACTAATGATACATGTGATCAGCTAGTATTAGGGGTGGGCACTTTATCCGATCCCGAATTCGTACCCGAACCCGACCCGAAATATCCGAACCGAAATCCGAACCGAAGTAGTAAAATACCCGAACGGGTATTAAGTTGGATATCCGAATCGGGTAATACCCGAACCCGAATGGGTATCTGGAGATAACCGAACATATGTATATATACCTATTTAATCATAGTTTATTTATCTCATTTTATTAAAAATATTTATATTAATGTTATATATAGTTTAATATCATATAATATACATATAATTGTAAAAAAATGATTTATTACTCATTTAAAATTTATATTAAGTTTCTTATTTAATATTTTAAACAAAATTTGCATTCAAAATTCAAAAATAACAACCAAAATAATGATTTTTATTTTTAATAATTTATTTTCAAACTTATTAATCGTCTAATTTATTAAACATTTTAAAACAGTTAAGTTAATAGTTAAATTTTAAATACATGAAACTTAAGTAATAAAGAATTTGAAAATTTTCTTTCAGAATCTAAATATCTGAACCCGACCCGAAATAACCGAACCCGAACTAAAAATATCCGAACCCGACCCGATATGTAAAAATACCCGAACGGGTTCTAAACCCCAATACTGAAATACCCGAAAACTTGAAATATCCGACCCGAATTTGAACGGGTACCCGAACGCCCACCCCTAGCTAGTATAAGTACTTACCCGCCATATATGTGATTGGGCCCACGTTAAGAAGGGTTGAGATAATAAAGCGCACTATAGCATTTTCATGACCCGTGCGTATTATAGCCGCTAGAATTCATTACAAACTAGCTTTGAGGGTTTTAGCTACTTGCTGCGACGATTCTCTGAGATTCCTAATAAGGGAGATGTTGAAACTAGGGTTTAGGTTATCTATTGGCATTCAACACCGCCTACTCGTGATTCCATGGTGAGTAATTAATTCAATCCTTCTTACAATCCATCTGGTTTTTTTTTTTTTTTTTTTTTTTTTTTTTTTTTTTTTTTTTT